GAAAGAGAAGAAGAGGGCGGAGCGGGGGGAGGTGATGATGTACTTTCGAGAGGACCATGACAAATAAAAACCTGGTAAGAGGCATGAAGAAAAACCAAGTTCGCCAATATGAACTAAATCAAAAGCATTGAATGGCTGTCTGCTCTGCATTCAGAGTCTGGTAGAAACCCCCAAAAATGGCAGAAGTGGTAAAAAAGAACGGGGTGAGCTATAATGGTGGGTAGCGCTTGTTTCTTGCTGAGGTAGGGTTTTTTTTCCTTTTCAAAGTTTCAGTTAAGCCTTTCGTTCAGGCGAACTCATGCCTGCTGACCGACAATTGGGAAAATGAAGTTACATGATTCGAGGGAAAAAAAAAGAAAAGTGCATAATATAAACATGAGTGGTGACATATCAAACTACATATATCCATACACAATATGCCATTTTAGCAATAATAAACACTCGGTAATTCATTACAAAAATTATCTACCTAGTCATACATCCTAGGTCTATCGAACATAATAGTGATAATAATATTATTCTTATTGCGCTATCTGTTGCCTACATAACCATTGGTTGAGATGGATAGAAGTTTTGCTGGTTCCGGTGCTGTGTCTTCTTGTTCTTGTTTTTCTTGTGTTTTTTAGACCCATGCCCCCTCTCGCGACGGCGTCTGCTGGAGGTGCTAGACTGTCGATGCCCTCGGCTGTCATTAGGCCTTGTCGCTAGGAAGGCTTCCTTGAGAGCGCGCATGCGCCGACGTCTGTCTCTACGCCGACTGCCGCGTGTCCTAATATGACGTAATTGCCGTCTGCTTCTTCGAGTTCTGTAGGAATAAAGGTTCATACCGTTGCTGTTTCTCAATTTACAGAACTCAAAAACATGTACAAATCGACACACAGGCGATGCAGTCGCCTACTACAAGGCAAAAGTGCGCACAGAAAGTCGTTGAACTCATTTAAAACAAAATTAATTGAAAACACTACTACCCTAGGATACGGTATTGTGTCATAGCTTGTCCGCAGGTAAGCCTACTGCATCAAAGATAGAGCCTGTTATCTCTAAGTTTTCAGTCACACAAAAAGACGTCTCCTCGGATGATTGCACGTGAGCAATAAATAGTTAAAGCTTGATACCCGCAAACCACGAGATACTGGCACATGCTGACCAGCCTAGATAATGTTTCTTTGTTTGGGTAAAGAGAAGCACATCGACACGGTAATGGTCATTTAGAGCATAAAGGAAAGCAAGGCAGAAAGACAGAAACAATAGCCGTAAAGAAAATAAATAAAACTTGCCTGTGGCGACCTCTAACTTACCACCCAGAATTTTTAAAAACCCCACCAAGTAGCTCAAACCATGTGAACTGTGAACCGGCGTCTGTGGTGTACCGGTTAGCCGCTTCACAGTCGCACGCAGGATATCCGAATTCAAATCTTAGAGGGGATAAAAATTTTAATTGAGTATCTCGATCCTTCTGCTGGGATGTTGCGTCCCTCTCATCCCGGATTGGCTTTGGGGCCCAGGGTCAAACACATATTTTCAAAAATGACCACGTGATCTACCTGAGTCTCCTCCTCCGGCTCTCCTTCAACAAGAGTCTGAGGACGTCGTCGCCAGAGACCTTGCCCCACACGCCGACCACATAGCGTTCGATTCTGCTCTCGTCGCTGCCTCGGAGGATGCGGAAGTACCCAGACTCGCCCCACTCAGGTCCCCACGAGTTTGCGCATAGCTGGGGGAAAGAGTGGGAGGCGAGATCATGATGAGCACTAGAGTGTGCGTGTGTGTGTGTGTGTGTGTGTGTGTG